CAACATGCCAAATCCAGTCTGAACATCTGGCTGACTGTGCAATGATCATAATAATAATAATAATAATAATAATAATAATAATAATAATAATAATAATAATATTTATTTGAGTGGTGTGGTGGCCTAGTGGTGAAGACTCTCGCTTTCCACTGGGAAGCTGAGAGTTCAATCCTAGTTAGCAACAGATGGTGCAAAGAAAAAATATCTGCTGTGAACTCTGCATGGTGTTAAGAAGGGCATCCACCCAGTAAATGCTCAGCTGCATCCAGTCACCCCAGCTCTACCCTGAATTAAGGGATTACAGGGTTGTAAAAAGGGAGGTTTTTATTTATTTAATTAAATCGATTGGCCATCAAAGTCTAATAAACGTATAAGCCGCAACTATCTTGTTTTATGATTGTTCCCTGTGCACAATATCACAAACATTCTTTTACATAAACTGAAAGCATCATTTTAATAACCTGAATGTTAACTCAATAGGATTTTAAATGACTTTTGGAACCTCGATTAATCACAGTTAAGCCTCAGTTATGGAGAAATAGAAGAAAAACATTAGTCTGCTTGATTTCTGGAACATTACTCCTCAATTAATCATTTACAGTGATACAATAGCTCTCCTTCACAGTATACAGATAGAACATTTTGTATATAGACATTGTTTCAACATGTTGGACTTTTTAAAATAGAAAATGGAAGGTAGATGCAAGAACATTGCAGATATCACAAGCTTTTCTTAAGCTCAATTATGACTTTATGCTTTAATTGGGATGGTATTGATTTGAAGAGTATTATCTTGTTTTAACAGCAGTTCATCAGCTGTTGCCCTTCACCTCAAAAAGGTGAAGGGATCCACAGTTTAATTTATCTTGGCACTTCCTTGTCTAACTTGTTTACAAGGCAAAAAGAATCATGTTGACGTATCAGTCCTATTCACAATCATACATAAGGCTCCGAGTTATTGTAGTTCTGTTTAATTGTAAAGCAGAATTTCATTACTAACTGCATTAAGAGTAATCTAAGAATTAAAAAAAAATCTGACAGGCGTTCACACTTCAGGGTTCTACTGCATCTATTAAAAATGAAGGATTTTTTAAAAAAACATTAAATCTTATTTCTTCCATCATGTTAACAGATAATTTCTACAACTAAAGACAATAATTTTTCCTCTTTAGAGATATTTAGCTTCTTTTATAGCAGAGAAATATTGTTGCTTTCAATGAGTTCCTAGGGCCTGATGCAACTTGGTCGGGTTAAGGCTAAAAACAGGAGCAGCCAGTAAAGTTGTCATGAAATTCTTGATATTGCAGAGATATTACAGGAAGTTACTGTTTTCTCTCCCACCCCACTCCTTAGGCACTCGGTGTCTAAAAGGTTCGCCATCACTGGCTTAGGGGCCAAACCACAGCAAGCAGCTGAAATAAGGCTACGATAGAACGTTTTACCTCAGGCTCAGGTATCAAAAACAAGGATACCATCCACCCCATCCCTAAAAACAAAGTTTAAAGTGTTGCTTTCAAAGACCACAGTTGACTTCAAAGATCAGGATGAACCATACATCAATTGCTGAACTGCATTTGCCAATAGGGCATTAAAATGTCTGAGAGAAAGCAGAAGAAATAATTTACTTTGAATAAATAACACTCAAATCACTTGCTTTAGCATGATCTCTTAACAGGCAGCAAACAAAACCGTAGTGGTAATTTTACCTTGAAACATCAAAGGGTTAGCAACTTTTTTTCAACCTCCAACACAAGATTATCCTAGCTAAAGGTTAAAAAAAAAACAGATTTATGGAAAAGTGTATGTACTCTTCTCTCTAATTGATAATTCAGAGGCAATTTCTGGTGGCTTGTGTGCTTTACCTGTGTTCCTAAAACTACAATTCAGTCCAAGTATGTCAAATACAAAACAGCCCTGAAATTAAACTTGCAAAATTTAATTCAAATTGTGACTGAAAGAGCGCATAAATAGTAAATTCCATTCACTCCTTTACAGATTAACTTCTGGCTAAATAGCTCTTTATAGCGAGATACTGAGATATCTTTACTGCAGGCAACTTTCAAGTAGCCCAAACTTAAAAAAGATAATGAGATTACCAATTGCCATCCTTGAAACAAAAACAATGAAGAAAAACGAGGACCTCAAAACTGATGTTAGCAAGGATCTGTTTACATTAGAAATCCCAACTTTTGTTTGTTTGTTTGTTTTTTTGCAGGTCTAATTCAGAGTTAAAGCTGACTTGTTTTATGATAGCAAAGCAATATTTAGATAAACATTCCAGGGTTCTTCTTGAATATATAAAAGGGAAGATCAAGGAGGGAAGCAACCTGGAATTAAGGAGAAACCTCCTAACAATTAACCAGAGGACAGCTTACCTTCAGAAGTTGTAGGTGCTTCATTACTGGAGGTTTTAAAGGTGGCTATCTGAAATGGTATAGGGCAGGCATGTCAAACTTGCGCACGACGTATCGGGACTTTTCCCCCATTGCCGGCAATGGGGTGGGCACGGTTTTGGTGTGACGCATCTGGCCCATGGGCCGGCAGTTTGACATGCCTGGTATAGGGTCTCCTGCTTAAGCAGGGGGTTGGACTAGATGACTCCAGGGTCCCTTCTGGCTCTATTCTGATTTATTGAAGATTGGTGATATTCATGTAAACAAGCTGCAGCAATGTAACATTTAAAATTACTAAACTTTTAAGATGCCAGAAGATTATTGTTCTGTAGTAATACATTAATACTAGCTATCTTTGAATATTGTTGTTTTTCTGAGTCTACTTTTGTTTTCCTGTGTATTTTGTCTTGGTACTGCTTCACCTTCTTTCCCAACCATTAAAAGAGAATCAAATCTTTGCTTATGAAAACATCAACATGAACTATATACAGATTTGCTCAATTAATAGCACAAACGGTATCATGAAGAAGACCATGACAGATTTGCAGACTTTTCCACTATATTCCTTGATATTTTCCCCTAAAAGTACATTCTAAAACAGGGGTGTCAAACTCAATTTCATTGAGGGCGGCATCAGCATTGCGGTTACCCTCAGGGGGCTGGGTGGGTTTGGTCAGAGTGGGTGCGGCCTACTGGGTGAGCGTGGATGGAGTGGGTGCAGCTACATCATTCCGTCAAGGGTGCCTGTTGGGGGCCTGGGCAGGAGTGAGACAGATCTGAGGGTCTCTGGCAAAAAGGGGTGGGACCAGGGCAGAGCCTATCAAGCCAGATATGTGAAGTAGGCGAGGGCCATTTGCTGGCCACTTCCAGGCGATGGTGCATTTCTTCATTCCTCATAGAGGGTGACACCTCCCTAGCATGCACCCAGGAGGTGGAACAGACGCGGCAGGGGCTGGTTCCTCGCTGTTTCCAGACGGCCTTGTGGAGCTAAGACTGAATGCATTTCAGCATAGATGGTCACCACAAAATTGTACATTGGCTCCCGGCCGGCCAGGGCCAGGGCCAAGGCAGCGGGGGCTGTTCCCTCACTGTTTCCAGGACGGCTTCGTGGGCCACATGAAAGCACTTTGTGGGCCGCATCCGGCCCCCGGGCCTTTTGTTTGATATGTCTGTTCTAAAAGATGACTTTACTTTATATGTGCACAGACCATATTAAACATTTTTTGGGCTGGACTTTATTCTGATCTCTTCACTCATGAACTGGGGCAATTATGAACCTGCTCCAAGTTAATTCTCCTATTGGACAAATTTAGATATATTTTAAGGTTCTGTCTAAGAATCGGATCACTCCCCCCCCCCATTTTAGTGCACAAAGGACAGACAATCTCTATACAAAGTATGGTGAAACAAAACCTTGGTCCTAAATTTAGCCATTCCCTTAAATGCCAAGGCAGTAGCACAGACATTTTAAGTTGTTGAAAGCAACCACTCTAACCCATGGTCTCAGCTTGGCATCAACTAATAAAACCTTTTATGGCTGTACCTAAAATTTTATAGACCACCAGTGTAAAGTATCTCAGTTTCAAACTATTTCTACACTTCCAGTAAAAAGAAACCATGCAGGTTTATGTGTTCTTTCCTTAACAAATGTTACAGTAGGAAAGTAAAGTTAGAAATTGAATGTGTCTGATTCAATTGTGTCCAATTACCTTGTGAATTCCCTGAATAAGGGAGAGAAACCTTATCTCAAAAGCCTTTTTATTTTGAGGTGAGTATAATTTTTAATAAATTCTTATGGATGGACTCATCTACCCATCCTTCTAATGGAGACGATTTCTACTCCTCTCCACGCATTCCAGAATCTGTATTAGAAAAAAAAAAAAAAACAGGTAGTCCTCGATTTACAACCATTTGTTTAGTGCAGTGGTTCTCAACCTTTTTAATGCCGCGACCCCCAACCGGTCGTAAGTCGAGGACTACTTAACCGGTTGTAAGTCAAGGACTACTCAACTGGTGCAGCACCGTTTGCAGAATAGGACTTTTGGCGGGCTCAGCAGGGCAGAGACAGCCTGGACAATTCCTATTGGCTTTTGAAAGCCAATAGAATTAGACTCTATTCAAGAGAGTCTATTCTATTGGCTTTCAAAAGCCAATAGAATAAAAGGGAGTGGCACAACTAAGGAAAAGGGGGAAAAAATGGCAGACTGCGTTATTTGGCGACCCCCGTGAAATGGTCGTTCGACCCCAAATGGGGTCCCGACCCACAGATTGAGAACCACTGGTTTAGTGATTGTTATAACAGCACTGAAAAAAGTGACTTATGACCATTTCACACTTACGACCATTGCAATGGGGCAAGTCAATGGGGAAGCCAGATTCACTTAACAACTGTGGAAAAATGGGCTTAAACTCACTAACAGCAGTCTCACTTAGTAGCAGAACTTTTGGGTTCGATCGTGATTTTAAGTCGAGGACAGCCTGTACTGCATGAAAGGAAGGAGCATCGTGTTATTTCGAGAACAGCAAGAAAAAAAAGAAAATTTCCCTAAGGTCCCACATTCCCATATTGCCACAATAATGGGAAAAACACACACAAAGGCATTTTGGTTTGATATAATCAAGGTCTTTATTGATCTCACTGTAACAGCAACCATTGGCGAGAGTGTTTTCCTGAACACCTGTTTCAATAAAAATCAGATAAGTACAGAAGTACCCAAGGATTTTTCAGACAACCATTGATGGTAAAAACAAGAATCCTGGGGTTCAGTTAAACATGGATGATAGCCAAAAAAAAAAAAAAAAAAAAAGGAACAGGGGAAGATACTAGTTTTTAAAATATATTAAGAACATTCAGTAACTTTTTTGGCAGCAGCCTCTACTCTTACTTCAGCGCTAACAAATAAGATAGAAAACAAGCTGCCATGTAATGTCTGAAGGAGAACTTCACCCACTTAAGGCAAAGAAAGGCACACTGGTTTGCCATCCTCATGCAGTGAATTAGGCAACAGAAGGAAGATGGAGGGGGAGCAAGGTAGTTTTGTGTTCCTCAGATAAACAGGGATGAAGGTGCCGATTGATTTTCCCACATCTTGTTTGATTTACAACCATTTTATAAACAACTGGTCCTTATAACATGGATTTCCACATTAGATGAATTATTGTTGATGCTTGTAAAGTCAAGTGTATGAAACATCATCAGCTAAGCCAGATAATATCTCATAATCAACCTAAAGCATTTTCCCTAATGTTATTTTTTCTAAAAGTAATTTACACACACAAACATATATCTATATATATATTGGGATGTATATATTCACCCATATGCATATATATTATTTTTGCATTCATCCTCTCTCCACAGTAGAATTCTCTTTCATGTTCCAAGAGTTACCTAGTTTTGCAGGTGATCAGCAAACGCAAATCTTCCAACCTGCCACATCCCAGTGAAATTGCAGGGTGAGAGTCAACGTGTTCACACAATCTATCACCATGCAACATCTGCATTAGAATTTATTGTTACCTGTTCTTTGAACTCTAATTCCTTAGCCACAAGTGGAAACAATAGCCTTCAGAGAGACATGCCTATCAAAACGTCCTTCATGGACTCCTCACCACTGTGAAAATTAACTGAAAGATTACACTGAAAGACAAATGCAGGGATAAATCTCACTTTTACATCCATCCGCAAAATCTATTTGGTGAGATAAGATTAGGAGAAAAATGGGACGGGAGACAAGACTGAAATGGTGTTTGGTACTAAGTTCAGAACTAATACAGAAAGCTTTAACACAGTCCTTAGGTCTACTGAGAACTCAATGCAACAAAACTTAACTGCCCAATTAATGAAATATCAAGGAGAGACCCATGAATGGTGGGAAAGCACCAGTTGAGTTGCAAATATACAGATGGGAACCATAAGGGTGGTGAAGAGCAGACAATTGAGGGGGACATGGACTAAATACTAGAGATCTAGGACAGTGTTTCTCAACCTTGACAATTTTAAGGCATGTGGACTTCAACTCCCAGAATTCCAGCCAGCAATGTTGAAGTCCACATGCCTTAAAATTGTCAAGGTTGAGAAACACTGATCTAGGACAAAGTTTGATGTGGAAATCAGCATTCCAGGTGCTTCTTCCATGATGAAGATAGCTGCAAGCAGGTCACTAACTTGCAAAATATCTATCTATTCAGTCTCTCAGCCACAACTATCAAGATTCACCTAGAGCAGGGGTCTTCAAACCTAACTTTTAACACTTGTAGACTTCAACTCCCAGAATTGAGGGCTGCCTGAGGAATTCTAGGAGTTGAAGTCCACAAGTCTTAGAGTTGGCAATTTTGAAGACTCCTGACCTAGAGCCAGGCCAAAACCAATCACTCAGGCAGACAAGTACAGAGAATTAAAAGAATGTTTGTTTTTTTCAGACAAGTAGTCTCACACAAATTATCTACACAAGCATGCTTTTTCTTAGAGGTAAAGGGTCTTGTTATTGTTCAATACCTAGTCAAAAATCCTTGCCCATCTTCTAGTAGATCCCGATTCATTTTTTGCTCAGCCTTATTACAGAAAAAAAAATGTAGCCTCCTGGCTGAAAGACTGGAACACCAGTAAACAAATGCCAGAGACGGTGGCAGAATTGTGAGCTCTTAAGTTGGGCCCTAAAAATCCTCATTGATGCATTGAGCACATTATCTTTGGTGAAAGCAAGGGCAACTTACCATGGATCTGTTCCAAATGGCATCTCGGGAGTCAAAATAGATAATATTTTAGCCATAACACTGGAGATTTTCCAAGGCCCCTATAAACATCCTTTATTAGTTCTCTGTACAAAAGTTCTTGTAACAGACATTCCTGACAGTAATGATGAGCCATAGCAAGTGTTTAAAATATTTTAAATCTACTGTTCCTACTATACCTAAAATATTTCAGTCCAACTGTCTATCCTCCATTCTTTTTTTTTTGAAAACCAGCAAATAACCAGGATATCAAAAGCAGTCTAGACCATGATTTGTCAACCTCAGCAACTTTTAGATGGATGGACCTAAACTCCTCAAATTTCCTAGCCAGCATCAAACATTGGTCTAAACAATTGAACTGCAAAAGGTTTTTTTTTTTAAATCAACATACCAATTCGGAATGCTGTAGCTAACAGGATGGAAGATCAGAATTCTGATTTATTTTTTTTGCCACAAAGAACAGTTATGTGGAATTAATTGCATTGTTAAGCACAATAATAAAGAAATAAAACATCAATCAAATATTCAATGGTTTCACATAATCTGAGGGGATGGAAATAAATAAAAACTGAACCCCTTGCTTGATTTTCTTGCCAAGCAAGTCTAGACTTTGGAAACCGAATTAGCAAAGGACTGCAAACAACCTATTACAATTCAGTCTTGTGTTATTTTCTACCATATGTATGTGCTGCATTTACTCATTCTTCAGCATATGTGAGTTGCTACATTTTTGCACAAGTGTTCAACCCAATGCATGGAATCCCAGTACTTCCAGTAAAATGTTTTTAAATATGTACTTAGTACGAGGCTGACTTGTGGTTCAGTGGATGTGGTTCACCATTACTACACATTATCTAGATGGATCCTTGCTGTTTTGTTTTGTTTTTTAAATAAGATACTGATGTAAATAGTTTTTCTGGTCATTCAGGCTTTCAGATTACTATCTGGAAAGTTGAGAGGCTCCAGCATAGACAAGCTGCTCCAACTTATCATTATTAGTTTTTCATAAAGAAAATATGACATCTTAAGATGTCTATCTCCTAGTACAAAACTTCTGCCACTGATTGCCGAAATCCTTTTGTGCAAATGTCACATAAAATCCTTCCACCTGCAAAAGCTATTTGCAAAGCTCAACTTCCTTAAGACTAGACATCCTTATTTGATCTTTCAACTAGCACATGCACAACTACTGGTAGAATATGGCTAGTTTTGCCAAAGGTCAAGTTCTATGTTTCTCAACCTTGGCAATTAGAAGATATGTGGATTTCAATTCCCAGAATTTCCCAGCCAGATAACACTGGTCAAGATAGCAGTTGCGACTGAAGTCTCATCCCTTTTTTTCACGTGCTGCATTGTACAAGATCTTAAAAAGGAGCTTCTATCACAATCACCTTCCACTTTTTCTATTCCAGGGGTAGGCAACCTTGGCTCTTTTATGACTCGTGGACTTCAACTCCCAGAATTTCAACCAGTTTCTTCTACTATAGTACTATACTAGGGGTAGGTAACCTTGGCTCTTTTATGACTGGTGGACTTCAATTCCCAGAATTCCTGAGCCAGTCCACGAGTTATAAAAGAGCCAAGGTTGCCTACCCCTCCTCTATTCCCTCAGAGATATCCCTCTATTTGTCTGCTGGCCTAATCCTACATAAATCCAAAAGACAGACTCAATAAATGAATTTTAATTAATAATTTTCATTCCGTTGATTACATCTGTATAGTATTTTGATATGAAGTCTTAAGAAAATGGCAGAAAAAATAAAGGAAAGCATGTTCTACACCAGATATAAATCTACTCCTTTTAGTTAGCAAAAAAATGAATTGACTAAAGCCTGCAGCCTTACTTACCTCAGATGTTTGCCATGGATTCACTTAGCTCACAATAGTGCTTAAAATGTATACCTACTCCAAAGTTTCTTTCAAAAAAAAAAAAAAAGATCATATATAGCACTGGAGGCCTCTCTTTAGAAGAGATACAACACTAATTTACTGATAACGGAGATTGTGGTTCTGAATTTGAAGGACCGCAAAACAGGGTAGCAATTATTTCTATTCTTTCAGCTACTGGATGGAAATTTTTCAAGTAATAAAATTCTGCTACAAACATTTTAAGTGCCTAGCATTATTACGTCTTAGTCTTCTCTTCAAGTTTGGCTGCGTTAAAAGGAGACTGAGAACTATACTGTGCTAGGGGGATAAACTCTGCAGAAGAAAGCAAAAAAGGATTTCTCTAATAGCTTTCTCTTCTTCTATTATAAAATGCAGCTTTATTCATAGACAAGGATAGGAGGTACAATCCAGAAGGCACGGGAGAGAAAATTGCCACGACTGAACCAATTTTCTAAGTTTTAGGGAAATGGAATGTTATTTGTTTCTTATTGACACTCATTATTTTCTCAGAACTATCTGCAAGGTATGAGTGTACTGGCTCAATTTTATAAATTGGGGAAAACTGCAGCAAAGATCAGAAGAGTTTATCCAAATACATGAGGAATCCTATAGTACAAGAGAAATCTCTTCACTCAGACTACAGATCAATCCTTCCCTCTGGAACACTCCTTTCTTCAGCTATGTTTATATAGAACAGACTTCAGATGAATCAGTTTTTTACGAGCAGCATCCGATTTGTGAAAATCTCATGGAATTCTCTGATAAAGAAGTATTTTTTTAATTGTGAAAAAAGTGTCCTATTAATGGCATTTTACTAGTTAAACCATTAGAAGGGAAAAAGTAACATACTAAAGTTAACTCCCAAGTTTCAAATATCTTCAAAAATACTACAATGAGAACAAGACCTGTTAGGAGCCCCTAAAACTCTGTTCTTACCCTCTCCTTCCCTCCCTGGAATTAGCTGAACTGGGATTGTGATTTAAAACTTCAGTTTTGCCTAGATCTGCCAAGTAAAGATGTATCTCTCCTCTCCCATCAACTGAACTGCCAATGAAGTGAGGTTCCAGGCAGAAACACTGGAACTGTCTGTGTTGATTTATGACTGAACACGCAGTCTCCTCTGCCCAAATCCAGACGCTTATGCTGCACTTCAAGGGATTCTTCCCTTCATGAGCCACAGCTTAGTCACAGCACTGTCACCACTTTAGAAGCAACAATATTTCCCCAGAGACATTACAAATTATTCCTGAGACATCAACAGTTACAAAGCAATTTTGCTTCTGTATTATTCACATTTTACAGTAGGCGAAACAAAATAAAATCCTGTCTTTCTTACATGCCTCCAAAGCTACCACAAAGGCAGAGGGGAAGCAAAAGCCCATATCCTACATTTTAAATCATGACACCCCCCCTCCTTTTAAAATCCAGTCAATTATGATAAGTTGCCAATTTATAAAGAGAATTAAGAGCCAAAGTCAATTCCCAGATTTGAAAATACAGGTGAGTTCAAGAACTGACCTGAAATCCATTATGTCATTTTATAGGCCAAAATCCAATAGGACGAGCATATTCTCAGATATTCTTCTAGAAGTGAAGCCTACATTAAAAACAAGTATAGTTGCCACATTCCCTGAGGCTGTATCACTTCCACTCCCAATTATGCCTGAATAATAAAATCCATGTGCAAAATTGCCACATCAGTGTGATCTCCCCACTAGGGAAACTAGCACAATTCAGTCATTCTATTTTTGAGGTAGCACATGAATCACTCTTGGAAGACTTCCTAAAGGAATCAGAGGCAACACTCATCAAATATTTTAGAGAAGCAAGAATCTTAGAACAGCAGAATTTCTAACCCCCATCAGCCTGAGATAGCAAGACCAATAGACAGAGATAATGGGAGTTGCAGTCTAATGACATCTGGATGGGTCATGGTAGCTTATCCTTGCCTCAGAGGCTTCATTTTCAAAATAAAATTACAGAGGAAAGCCTGACTGAAGACAGGGACAAGCATCCAGAAATTTCAGTGTGAGTGTGCTATTTTTTTTAAAAAAAATTCTAGTTCATGTGTGTGAGGTCACAGCAAGCATTGTCTTAAGCAGCATTCCCTCTTCTAAAAGAAGGAAATATATCTTTCGTTGTTATCACTGTAGTTTTTGTTCAGTCTGGGTCGTAAAATAATTAACTTTTGGGAAAAACTCTGCTTTCCATCTATGGTGACATACTTTTAAATCAAGCAAAGAGGTTTTTATTATTCCATTAGCCTAGGCCAGGGGTCTCCAAACTTGCCAACTTTTAAAGATTTGTGGACTTCAACTCTCAGAATTCATTATTGTCTGAGGAATTCTGGGACATGAAGTCTTAAAGTTGCCAAGTTTGGAGATCCCTGGGCTAGACAATAAAACAATCTAACATGGCAGCATTCTCATGGTGCCAAGTATCAAGGGGCCCTGCAGCCATTGCATGGATTCATCCACGGGCTGTGTTAAAATGATCCACCAATTTTCCCTTTCGCAGTAACTGGTTTCTTCACAAAGAGACCTCAATTGCCAATGAATACCTACAAAGAGAGATCCTATTTGCTCTCTGCAACAATTCCAGGCAAACAGCACAAGTTCACTTATGCCAGAACTAATCAAGTTAGGAGTTGGGTCACCAGTATGTGGGAAATGGCGAATATATCCAAATAAAGAGAATGAAGTGAGATCACCAGCAACTCTTCCTCCATAGTGACAGTGAATCTGCAATAGGCTCCAAGGTGTCTGATTTAATAATGTATGAATTCAAGAAATGTGCAGAGGATAGTAACCAAGAAACAAATAGATCTTGTTCGAAAAATGCAGTGAAATCTTTCTGATCAGTCACCATTTCAAATTCATTTGAAGTCACACATCATGAAATCAGCACTTAACATCTTAATAATTGATTCTTTAAGGTTCCCTGGTCCATACAAGACTTTTTCACAATTTTCATTTTTTGTTGTGTTTCTCTTAGTTAAGCGTAACCAGGTTGCTTTATTTAATTCTTTTGGAACAAAAATGCACTTGCAAAGAACCCACCAGATGTTACTGAACAGCAAAAATTAAAGAATGTAGACAAATAGTACAGAACAGTGTCTCTCAACCTTAGCAACTTTATAAGCTGTGTTGACCAGCTCCCAGAATTCTGGGAGTTGAACTCCTCACAGCTTAAAATTGCCAAGTTTGAGAAACACTGGTTCAGAAATCAATCAAGCAAAATACTCCCCAATTAGGAAAAGATCTGGTTCGCTTTTAACACTGGTGGGTTTAAATGAGGAAATCGGAGAGAAACTTTTTTTTTTCGGGTGGGGGGGGAAATGATATTGGGACGAAATACAAAGTGAAATGAATGCATAATGAAGTGATGGTTCTAAATTATTTATCTTTTTTTAAAAAAAAAAAATTTCAGGGGAAGCAGAAAAAACTCCAATACTCTTTTAGGAAAATCTCATAGCAGCTTCCCACATGAAAGGGTATACTAACTAAAAAAGAAAAGTTGAGTAACAGGATTTAGAAAGAGAGTGCATTCTGCACGTCAAAGGAGATATAACATAGAAATCAAGTTAATAAATTGACATCAATTTAACAGCAGTTAAGGGAAAGGAGAACAATGGCAGTGTCATGTCACTTCAAACATATATCCACCCTTTCCATGCCCCTTGTGTGTTTTGCAATAAATATCCAATTGTTGATAGAAGTTAAATTCTCGCATGTGCATGTTTTGAAAAGTTGTCTCTAAAGTGCGAGAAGCCAAGGGACACTCCTTAGCCATATAAATTTATCATGGGCTCCAAGTCAGTTATAGGGAGTGAGTAAGGCAAGCAGAGGAGTAGGGGATGGGTAGGAAGCATGGTATGGTTAATGGAAATCAAGGAGAGTCCTCTTATCCTTTGGCACTTCAAAAGTTGAAGTGAAAATTCTGTGGAAACAGCAGCTTCTACTTCTTCTTCTTTCATCCTTCGAGTTATTGATCCTGATGGTCAAAATCAGATGTACGCAGGTGATCAGGAATTGCTGTTTCTCCATGGTTACCCTCAGGGAAAATCAGATGTCCATCTCAAACTGAGCATCATCACCTGATTGAAAGACAAGAGCACATGCAAATCAATGGAAAATTTTTAAGGGGAGAAACTTTACAGACATGTTTTTTAAGTCTCCTAAGAGGACAGTGAATTCTTACTTTCAATAACCTGACACATGTAAGTGGCCAAAGTTAACAGTTAGAACAGGCAAAACCACTAGAAAATGCAGATGGAATATACCATACCATTTTAACTGAGCTAGAAGGTGGCTTAAACCAACCACTGGCTTAAAATAGTACCTCACAAAGAATCTGCCTGGCATTTTTGGCGAGATATACCTACACTCAAGTTTGTATTTTGCTTATTCTTGATCTGTTTAATTTAAATGCTTCTTTATAGGAGGAAAATCGACCCTTACATCCAGTATCTTTGCTTCCTTCTGCTGCCTGAGGATGTAACCAAAAAAGAAAGTATGTTTTGATCTAAAAAAATAAAACAAAAACCCAACACATTTCAGAAGTTCTTCTGAAATATTTTAGATCTGCCATGGTTAAGGGAAAATAAAACTCAGAACTTTTTGGTTGTTCCGGTTAAAAAAAGAAGAGAGAGCACTATTGAGTGATTTAATGAGAAAGGACTATCCTGGTGGGCATCTTTCCCTCTTTCCATTCCTTCTCCACTTGTTTTCTGCTGCAATGATTTTATATTTCATCAGCTCTCCTATCCACTGACCTTTCTAGTTCCTTCCCTTCAGTTGATGGTGCTGAAGTGTGATCACTTCACAGCACACAATTACCCAGGGGTAAGATGGGCAGCCAATAAATTTAATTGATAATAATAAAATAAAATAATGGTTCATGACAACAGTACAAGGAGCTAGCTTTCCTCATTTGTTTAGTTTCATAGGCAATCTATATTCCCAAGAAACTCCACCATCCTTCATTTTTTTCCTGACCATCTTCTGCTGCATTATGGAATCACTATGGTTGGTCCATGTCCAAAATAAAACTGCCCCATTTCATACTGTATATGGGCCAATATATCCAAAAGACATTCTACTTTGGGCATGGAGCACCCAAAGCCATATGACCTGAGCATGGTACAGTTCATGCATGGAATGTTTTGGGCATTTCTTACCTCCAGCATTTTTAGTGTAAATTCAAGTTTTAGCTTGTGTTTTACATCTGGCCTTCCCTTCCTTACTTCTAAACTGTTTGCTATTGCTTTGCCATACACCAGTCTTCGACTAAAATAAATTTTGAACTTGAAATACAAGAAGATGGTTTTGTTTTGAGACCAACTACATAAAAGAAAAAATGTGTAGATTGTTATTAGCATCTTATCTAATTTTTTTGTCCAATTCCTATTTACCAATAAAGGAAAATATTTGTAGTTCAGGGTTGAAATGAGGGGTCCTTGGGACTCTCTGAGCTTCCTTTGTTTTCTTGCAGACATTTCATTACCCAAATTGTAACACCGTCAGTGGTAGATGATGTTACCTAGTTTAGGTAATGAAATGTCTGCAAGAAAACATACAAGCTCAGAGAGCACCAAGGACCCCTCAATTCCTATTTAGCCTAGAAATACAACGGATTTACAGCTAGTTCCTCTAATGGATCAAGTCCATCTCAGCAAATGATTTGACCAAAATTGTATGGCAAAATTGTTTGTACTTTACCTCAACTTGAACTGCTTTATACCATTTTGAAAAAGTAAATATCTTTCAATAATTCATAGCTATTGAATTGCTAAGGCACAGAAGGCAAAAGGCCAATAATTCAACATTCAGTTCCTACCACATACAATTGTTGCAACAGTTTGCTGTTTTCTACAAGCAGAAGCTCTCTAAACGCATTAAAGGGGGGAAAAAACTGCAGACAGGAAATAAATTACTTGATCCCAAGGTAAAACTCATGTTTGAACAAAATCACAGTGCAGGAAATAGAATAGCTCTGTATCACTTCCCATTCTGGCTACAAAGAACAAGGAGATCAGTAGTACTGCATGTCCCCCCCCCCCCGCGAAAAATCTCTTTGTTACCAGAATTTCCATTCCAATACAGTTAAGTGAGTTGCGCCCTGTTTTACAACCTTTTTGCCACAGTTGTTAAGAGAATAACTGCAATTGTTAAGTGAATCACGTGGCCACTAAGCAAATCCAGTTTCCCCCACTGACTCTGCTTGTTAAAAATCAACTAGGAAAGTAACACATGATGATCACATGATGGGACGCTGCAACTGTTGTAAATACATGCTGGTTGCCAAGCACCTGAATTTGGGGCAGTAAGTACTTTTTTCAGTGCTGTTGTAATCTTGGATGGCCACTAAAAGAATGGTTGTGAGTCAAGGACTACCTGTAGCAGAGACATGGATTGGTACTGTCAGTTGCAAGTAAGTATTTGGCATGCGTGCAGATATTGCTTCTGCTACAATACAGATGTTCTTACCAATTATAGGCTTCCCATCATGATTGTTCAGATTATTTACTTCCACTTTGGAATCTTCTGTCACAGAACCAGGACTGGTAACTCCTGGGATATTGGGAAGGTGGCAAGGAGGGGTTTGAGCCATGGGAGAATTGCGCCGATCTAACAGAAACTTGCGGTCGTAAATGATTCTGGTACCTAGAGAGGTGGAAAAAGAACAAAGTAACTGGTATGATCAGATCCACTATGCTGAGACCGTGTTAGTCTATGGCAGCAAAGGAAATCAGGAGTTTATGGAGACCTTGGTGCTCTCTGAGCTTGGTTGTTTGCTTGCTGACATTACATTATCCATCAAGGACTCCTTAGTTCAACCCTGAACTACATATACTGCCTTCCATTAAAATCAGAAGTTTGGCAGCACTTTTTCTGATTAACACTTTTTTTTACTAAAATTTTATTTAACAATTTTTTAGGCAGATAAATCATAAATATTTGTGGCCTAACTCCTCTGAGGTATAATTGTTTTGCTCAACAAGCCCCTTATTTATAAAGAAAGGTTGCAGCTCTAAACAAATATTACATTCCACTGAATGCACTTTAGTTTATATCCAAGTAAGAAAGCAAAAGAGCCAGTTTTGGTCTAGTAATTAAAGTGCTAGACTAATAGAATGCAAGTCAAGTTTTAGTCCTGCCATTGGCACGGAAGCCAAGTGGATGACTTTGGGCCGCTCATGCTCTTTCAACCCTCGGGAAAAGGCAGTGACAAATCTTTTTAGAAGTTGTCTAGAAAACTGCACGGATTGTCCATGCAGTCACTAGGAGTCAAGATGGACTCAAAGCCACCAATTAAAGTATGTTTAGTATAAAACCTAAAACTTAAATGAAGTTTAGAAGCTTCCCCCTTTTGCAACAAGGATGACTCTTGATTTCTCCACCCTACCCCCTATATCCTAATCTTCTCCAAGCAGGTGCCTTCCAGGTTTGGTTGCACTCACCAGGTTAGGGAAGGCTACATTACCCTGAAAACAAAATAAAGTATCTTCAAGAAAATGAAATCTGCATGTTTCTGTTTATTCCAAAATTAACAATACAAGCTACTGAGCAAGAGTCAAATCTGAACCATCAATAGTTAACACACGAGGCTTTGCTAATTCAGCTACAAGCCCCAACACTGAAGCCTTTTCATACATTGACACAGAAATCTCTAATGAGTCAAAAAAAAAATGAAGAAAATGAATCATGGTTTGCCATTTAATAGAAAAACTTCACCTCTACTTGGAAAACAGTGGTACAAGATGGAGCGATTTCATATTGGCCTCTTAGGTGGCAGAATTATTCAGACCAGAATGCCAGTACTTGGTTTAATTATTGGCTTGATAGCCCTTATTTCTTGAAGATATATTTAAAGTGATACATCCTAGGAAAACCACCCCAGAGCTGTTCAAATCACATTTTTATTTGAATTCTCTTTCCTTGCTAAGCAGGATAATCGTTCCTTTCTTGGTTCTTAACGCAGTGGTTCCCAACCTTTTCTATACCCCGCACCCCTAGAACGCTTCTGATATATTCTCGCACCCCTTACAAAAGTTTGAAATAACAGCAATGAATTATGCATGTACATTATAATTTTGAAAACCCAAGTTTTTGCACCCCCTGGAATATCATCTCACAACCCCTGGTTGGGAACCCGTCTTAATGCTTGCCTTGTCTTCTGTTGGAGCTTTTCTTTGCTCATGTTTTTTTTCTCTCTCTTCATTGGCTGAGAGACCCTCAAAGCTTGGCAATCTTTCTTATGCCCATAAGCGGCCTCACCCTCCCATATTCCTTGGTTGAGTCTCCCTGACCTATCTATGAAACATTCAGTGCCATGGCTTTGCCTACAAATTACTGTTGAAGGATGCAAAACATGATGGCCGGGGGAGTTGTGTTTGAGAGCCTCACTGGAGATAATAGGGACTTTAACATTACAGGTAGTCCCTGACTTACAACCACAACTGAGCCCAAAATTTCTGTTGCTAAACGAGACATTTATTAAAGAGAGTTTGCCCCATTTTATGACCTTTCTTGCCACAATTGTTAAGCGAATTGCTGTAGTGGTTACATTGGTAACACAGTTGTTAAGTGAATGTGGCTTCCCCATTGACTTTGCTCTTCAGAAGATAGCAAAAGGTGATCACGTGATCTTGGGAGACTACAACCGTCATAAATACGTGCTGGTTACCAAGCATTTGAATTTTGATCACAGGACCATGGGGATGCTGTAATGGTTGCAAGTGTGAAACTGGTCATAATTTTTTTTCAGTGTTGTTGTAACTTCAAACAGCCACTAAATGAACTGTTGTTAAGTCAAGGACTACCTGTACCTCACTGAAGAGAGTCACATGGTTTTACAGCCAAGAATGGTTTTCTTTTATTGATGGAAATACGTCTCTGGGAAGGCTCCTCTTTCATAATCTCTGTGCAAGCTTCCAGATGGCGTCTAACATACATCTGTGGAAAACTGGAAGCAGGTTTAGTCAGGCCTTTGATCTCAGCCAGCAGGGCACATTTTCATCCAGTATCAACACACTGGCACTCACCAGATGTTTTAGATCAGGGGTCTTCAAACTTGGCAACTTTTAGACTTGTGGACTTCAACTGAGGAATTCTGGGAGTTGAAGTTCACAAGTCTTAAAAGTTGCCAAGTTTGAAAACCCGTTTTAGACTCATACCATGGCAGAATGGTAAGCAATTACAGAAAATGTAGTTGAAAGTGTCTAGATATTACCAAACTGTGTACTCCTTTTCTAAGCTGAGTCTTGAGAGTACAAGCAGAAAATAGACCTACTGCTGCATCTTTACCTACTTAATTAAATGCTTTGAGTCTATATGGAATCGATTTCTCAGAAATGATTGGCATTAATTGGTCTACACTATTATCGATTATCAAAGGGCTTAAATGCACTATTCCTTTCTGGTTCATATTGAAAATAAATCACAAATCTCATTTCTTTCCACACAAGAAGCTCTTCTCAATAGCATCACCAAAATTTTAATATTAAGACAACAGCAACACTGCTTGGCTTTAATCAAATTAAAGGTAAACTAAATTACCTTTTACAGATGGCAAAATATTAATTCTAAGAAAAGGAACCTCTAAAAATCTTTACAAATAAAGTAAATGGACATGGAAGAGGCTGATCCTCAACGGATCCTACTGCATATCTAAGAGCTTCCACTTCCCATTTTCATCACATTGCTCAAATCTGTTTGCAAATTTTTGCCCATTTCTTTGCAACTGCACATTTTGGCCTCCATTTTCTTTATATAGCTAAGTCAAAGGAACTGGTTCATATTTGTGATGGTCATGTGATCACCTTTTGTGATCCTCTTATAAGCAAAGTCAATGGGGAAGCCAATTTCACTTAACAACTGTGTTGCTAACTTTATCATTGCACTGATTCACCTAAGAACTGTGGCAAGAAAGTTCGTAAAATGGGGCAAAATTCACTTAGCAACAGAAAATTTGGGCTCAATTGTGGTTGTAAGTCGAGGACTACCTGTCCTAGATTTTGCTGTAACTAAATGCCCTTTGTGGCTTGGGCCAAGGATAGCTATGAAACAGATTTCTCCCTTGTGTTCCATCATACCCTATGTCAACTGAGTATGACATCAATTCAGCACCATCTGTGCATTCCTAGGACACATAAATAACACAGGAATTGAACCTCCCAAGCTTGTAAACAGCCTGTCACCCAATCAACTCCAAGAATCACTGCCACTTCTGTTTGTTCCTCTTTTTTCTAGGAACAAAAATGTGGAATGGTCAGTGTTAAATAAAGCAAAGGCAAGAAAAATATTGAAATATGTCAATTGGCATTTTTTCAGTCCCATTTGCAACAATAAACATCGTATCAAACTCTAAAATGGAGAAAGCCACTGAACACTGATGTTTCAGCTTAAAATTGGAGCCACAGGAGTCTCCTAGAAGCCATCACCTGAGCCCCCATGGTTGTTATTTTAGAGAAAAATAGGAGGCAGAGTTATTATGTACATCTCCTTCCGCTCCAGAAATTAAAGGATGTAAAAGACATAATTTTATGCTTATAATATATTCAAGCCTTTTTCTTTTACATTCCAATTTTATCTTAAAACTCAGCTATAAAATAAATACACACGGTTCTACAAAGCTGAAGCTACTGTGATATCATGATTAGAGTACTGGACTGGCATCAAGAACACATGAGTTCTAGTTCGCCCTTACCCTTGGATCCTTCTGGATGATTATGAAACATTGAATTAGGTTCACTTCCTGTTAACCTCAGTGACCTAACTATGGATTTTTGGGCAAATATTGTGTGTATTTTGCCACTGACTTAGAACTTCACAGTTTTACCTATAGCTCTGGAATTTCCTTGAGCTCTGCCACCCAAGTACAATCTCATTTAGCTTCTAAGCCCAGACATAAATCAGCCAGATGTTTTTTTTGTTGGAGGCCATAAACATGCTTGAATAGCATTCCACTTTACAGTGCTTTGTTGCAGGATCTTTTTACTATTACTGCAAAACATTTAATAAGACCACTTCTCTGGATAAAACTTTAGAGATAGTAGTATGTTTTAAATGAGTTTAGGTTAGAATTTAATAGACTGACATTTTTTAACCATATTGAATATGATGAGAATTTCTGAGTCAAGACTAGATATAGAACATGTGTGCTTTTATTCAAAGGGACGTCTGCAAGAAAACAAGCAAGCTCGGAGAGCACTAAGGAACACTCAAAGGTACAATCCCTGGGTTTGAATCCCTCATTTGTATCTCTCAATTTTAGATTTGTTCACTCTGTCTCTCTTTATATCTGTATCTTTATGTGGCTAATTACTAGGAAAGAGAGAGTTGACTTGAGAGAGTTCTGAAGCAAAGCAAAATAGTAGACATTGGCTTCCTTATCCTTTCAGCAAAGCTTTTGTGGGGGACAACTGGATAAAATATCCCCAAAAAGCAATGGGTTGCTGTCACTCAACATTTTTTTTTTACTTACTAAGTGAGTGCATAGTTATTTAATTAGTTAAGTTTATATTCTATTGCTTCACTTTTGATTCCTTAGTTTTGGGGTGTTATTTCTGGAAATGACTCAAAGCAACCCAACTTTTTTTGGGGGGAGCATGCTGTGCTCTTTTGTTCATAAGCACAGTGATATCTGCAGCAATCAATGATGA